TATATATAAATTAATTCTATTAAACTAAACTGTATCTGAAGTTTTCGATTAAAGAATTGTTATCTTTCTAACTCCCTAAAGTTTAGTTTGCGAAAAGTCTCTTTTCCAATTTCTTATTACTTGAACGTTATAACACATTTTTGCTGATAATGAGAGGAAAAATCGACTCCGATTTAATCAAGGAATCTGCATTAAAAGCACATCCGGTGGTTTTCGGACACCTTGTATATGTATCATATCTCGTCCAAGAGTCAAGAATCAGCTCCAAAGAGCGATCGCTCCGCGTTTCACGGTCATCAGACAAGAAGGTCAATGATCATTATTCATTAGTCATCATATCATCGTTGCCATTAATCGAAGCGGGAAATCATATTTATGTAATAAAACGAGTGAATCATATACGCGAGTAGATATATTTATACGGAAAAATGTATATATAAGAAAATTCTGCAAAATAAACAGAAGAAACATATCATAATCTATATAAAATTCTGATAATATTTTTATAATATTTTTTATATCTCGTATATACTTTTAATTCCTGCTTTCATGTGAAACTATCAGACAGATGAGCTCACGTCTGTTTAAACGTATACGTTTGATTTTCGTCATCAATCGCTTCGATATGATAAGAAATATTATATATGTATGGCTCTTCTTTGAAGGGAACAGGGGACAATCGCCACTTCTCGCAGATTGCTTGTCCCCGCCTTCCAAAACCATAAGTATAGCCATGAATTGACAGCTAATTGCCAGCGACGAGCATACATCAAAGACTTAGACGATGCGTTCCGCCGCGTCGAGTCACGTGACGTCTCCGCCGTCTCGTATATACGGGATGAATGAGCTTATTCCTATTAAGAACGTACATGTACGTACGATTCTTTACGTTGCACGACGCTCAATTGAATTTATTGTACCTACAGTGTATATCCTCCCGGTTCCCGGTTACGCGAACAATTGTATAATCGATAGTCGACGACGCAGCATCCAACGAATTCCTTCGATACAGCAAAATAATATAAGTCATAATTCGAATTGATTTATATAAATTTATATAAAACATTAATCTACAAAAATCTCTCAGTTAAAGAAACTAATATTTATATTTAAAAAAGCATTACTTTTCATACAAGCGATTCGGATTCTACGCGAAACGTTCGAAGAGCAGTAAAAGAGAGATAGCAGTGAGATAATCATTTGTTTCTTCGGGAAATATATGAAGCAATAAGATTAATGTCTCGAATTATAAAACTCAGTAAAAAAGAAAAAAAATACGAGGAAGAGATTATTTCCCGCTGTTTTGACGTCGAATACGATTCCGATTCGAATATTTTGCTTTATCATATATCACACAATCGTGAAAAATGTACAATTATATAAATTTGCAAAAAAGGGCCATTTTAATAAATCTTATCGTATAACTATGGTATATATTGCAACAAATTTCTCAAAACTGTAACGTGATATAAAGCAAACCAGAATCGTATTTAATATCAAAGATTGCGGAAAATTATCATGCTTATGTTAAAAAAAAACTTATTTTTTATTGAACTGTGTTATCTATTAGATAATATCATTTAATATGTATATATGTGTGCGATATAAGATTACAGTTTTGAGCCGATAAACATGAATTGAGGCTTCGTTTTCGTTTATGGAAAAATACAAAAAAATATATTAATAGTCTCTCATTTATTGTTTCTCTTTCTCTCTCTTTCAAACATGCAAAAAATTAATGTTTTATGAATCCATATACTTTGATATTTAATGGACTATAAGATTCTCAACTGCTTAATCATGATCATATCCACATTTCGATAATGATTCTAAACTACAGAGAGGTTTATTTTAAAACTATATAATCCATGTCGCACGCGCACATTTAACATACCCACACAAATTCTCTATATTATAAAATGAAAGAAGAAAACGCGTAAACAAAACATGTACACAAAATGTTTTATGATGTATAATAAATCTTATAAAACACGCATTATTAGAATATAAAATAAAGAAACAAGAAAATTTCATAACAAAATTCACATCCTGGAAATTTTATGTCTCAAGATAACACTCTTATTAAGTCAACTATATTTATCTGATATATGTGAAATATTTATGCGTAGATAGTCTCAAAATTCTCAACTTTTTAAATTTTTAAAATTTAATTTAAACTTTTAAATTTTTAATGACTTAATTAATCTGGATTTAACATTTGATTACTAAAGGTTGAAAAGCTGCAACTAATGATGATCTCTTTTAAAATGCATTGAACTTTTTCTTAAAAATTAACAATTCTACAAATTTGTTGAAAATCAAATATTAAAATTAAAGTTGAATATTTTGAAATACTTTATACACCAGATATCTCAGATATATTCTCTACTTTCATTTATCTCTTTAAAGTAACCATTAATGTCAAACATCTAAGTCAAAGAATCAACAATTTTTATTTATTTTTTTTTTTCTAAATTTAAGCAATTAAAAATTTTTAAAGCGCTTTGTGACGTTATCAACAGATAACACAATTTAGTTTTAAATAAAATTTATTTTAATTTTAAAAATTAAAGTCAAAGCTAATAATTTTAAGAGAGAGAGTTGAAGATTTATATATATACTTATATAATCACCTACTTAAATAAAACTAGACATTTAAATGTTACAAAGTTTTGTGTAAAAAGGACAATGTCTTACTTAATTTTCATCCGAAAAACGTGTGAAGTGCTGCAAATAATCCAAAGCGCTAGAAGGCGGATGGAGAGGAAGCCCACCCCACACATTATATCTAGATGTATAAATTAATAATAAATACTTTTTTCACACAGTTTCTCTTTCTGGCAATGCAAAGGAGCATTAATTACTAATTATCTATTTACATATTTAAATGTTCTCCCATGGATCGAGTGAGCCTAAACAATCGGGAACACTGTTACCCTTAAGTACAAGGCATTTCTATGCATGTGTGCGTTTGTTTGCTTATAATTTACATAAGCAGAACAATAAGGGAATAAAAGCACCAATGGCTACGAAAACAGGTAACATTACAGATGAATCATCTATCGAGTACGGGTCGGGTGTCCTAGGCCCACTCGTGTGTCGACTACGCACAGTAGTTTCTTCTTCCTCTTCCTGCATGCTTTGATATTCCTCTGGATCCTGTGGTATCGGTCCCAACTGTGGTATATCTGTGTAGAAACATAATTTACAATAAGAAAATCATAATTTTTGCTACAAAGAAAGACTAATATTCATTAAAATGAAGAAATGCAAACCTTCTAAGGTGCCTTTCACAACGGCTATAGCATTTATTTTTGGATTGTCTCGATAACCCTGTAACATTACAATATGCTGTATCATATATATGTATGAAGTAAAATATATATATATATAACATATTAATCTCTTACCTTTATAAATTCTACTCTTATCTTTCCTGCCAAAATGTCTGATTCTTCGTCATTGTATATTAATTTTCCTCCCTGTACCCTGAACGGGACGTATTCGTCATGTGCAACGCCTCGGCCAACCCTTTCGAAGATATCCAAATCGGCGACCACGGTATGATCACCATTCAGCACAACATCAAAGACCTGCCCAAAAGATTGTACATTATGAATTTAATCGAGACAACAGTTTTCAAGGATGTAGTCATCATTTCATAGAGGAAATTTACCTTCATATTCGGCGAATTAAAGTAAACTTCGCAGAACTTGAGTATCATAACGTAATCGCCCTCCTGGCTAATCGGCACGTCGTATCCGAACGTGCTGTGATGGTAACGCTCGGTCTGATAAAGGATCTGGTCCACGTTGTTGACGCGTCCTATAATCAGCTGTTTACCGTAATCGGATGCCGTGCCGACCTTATTCATGAGGGGATCCTTGGTGTAACGTATCCCATAACTATCCGTATGCGATTCGCCGCCCGCGTTTATCGCATATATCACCTCCAGGCAATGCGATTCGGGAATCTGGGACACGCCAAGTAGCAGCGGCAGCAACAGTATCGCCCAGAGATTATTGGCATTCCCCGTTGGCGATCGCATCCTTAGAACAGGCGTGTCATTCGCGGCTTGAGAAAATTCGGCTGGTGGAGCACGTGGAGCAGGTGCTCATAACTCGTCCTTCAAGATCCGTCGTTGTCGTCGTTGTTTCTAGGCACGTTCCTTGCCAGGAATCGCATCGAATCGCAACCGCATTGATTTTTATATCGCGTGCTGCAATCAAACGGCACGTCGAATGGAATCCGCTGAGTTTGTGAGAAAATATTGATATACAGCTGATATGCGGCCATATGTGTAATGCGATCTGTTATCTAGCTAGATCTCCGACTTATCGACCGCACTCACAATCAGTTCTTGTCATGTCGAAAATGCCCATCATATGTCGCCACTTTCCCGTTTTATATCCGTCAGAGATTTTATTATATTTTCGATTACCTGTAATGCAGAGTTTTTCAGTCGCACAATCGATTGAATATATATTATATATTAGATATAAATTAATTATTAATA